GCAAGTTTAAAACACACACACATACACACACGCATGCACGCGCACACACACACACACACACACACACACGTCTGTCGCTGTATGGTCTGCTGTGAGCTCTGGTTCATTAGCATGCTCACGTCCAGAGATTATGAAGGCAAACAGTGTACACACTGTTAAAAATGAACATGTCTGATGTTAAAATGATTTGAACTCTGCTTCTTTGGTTATTTGACTTGACTTTCAATAGTTTTACTGATTTCAAGATAAATCCTTTTCTATATGGAAAAGAAAATCATACAAAATAAGGCAACAAAGTAGAGACAGACCGGCATACAGACTTTATATTTGCATTTTAATACAGAGATAGTTAGACAAAAAGTGACCACACACCTCTGAAAGGTTTGTGGGTAATAAAAGGCTGTGGGTGAGTTTGTGGTAAATTTAGGAAAGTTTATCCTATGAATGTGACTTTTTTAAAATTATCGATACCTGCTCAAAACATATCTAGTTTCAATACTAGTTTTAGTATTGATTAATATCTGTTTGTTTGTTTTTTTTCTATAAATTATCATTCACATTTGTGAATTTATCACATTTGTCACATTTATGTTTTATTATTTATTTATTTTTTATTGTTTCTTAAAGTGCAAGTGTGCACAAAATTACAAGAGTAATTAACAATGAGCACTGCACATTCTTTTGTCTCAGAATGTGAAGTGTTAAAGTGCCTTGAATGTGAAAAAGCGCGATTTAAAAATGTGTCCATTTACCATAAAAAGATAACTCAATTATAGTTCCATCTTACCTGTGTTTACTCAGAATAATTCCAGAAAAGGACACTGTCCCTTTTAAAAACCTGAAAAGCGCCTCTCCACTCACTGGTTCTCCGTTGTTCAGGCTGAGTGTGACACAAAGCCCCAGCTGCTGTGCTCAGAACACATTGATGGAAGTGGCCTCCTCCAGCACATAGACTATGGATTTTCATCGAAGAGCTCGGGTCGATATTCTGGGCCTGAATTAAGTTTCAACAAGCAACACCACAACCCACCCACATGTAGAACACAAGTTTATTCTTTTTAAATGAGGACTTCAATCCAGCAGCGTTGTCAGGTGAAACAAAGTCTGAAATCAAAATACTGAAAATGAGATGGATGTTACAAATGCTGAAGCATGAAAACACAAAAACACATCAGGTCCACACACTTTAAAGGACCCGACTATTTCTAATCCATGTTAGAATGTTGTTTCCTCATCAAAAACAGACCTGGAGTTGTGTTTTGTTTCATTCACACATGTTTAAGTAATCTTTTATTATTAGTCTGTCTACTAGCCTGATTCATCAGTCTGACATTGCAGCATTAGGAGTCGTTCGCTTAACGGTAGGCGGGTACTTTTTAAAATTTAACCAATCGCTTATATTTGTTTGTGATGTATGTAATGCACCGCTAACGGAGCTAACTGGTAGATTAAACTTTTCCCAAATCCCGTAGGAAGAAGGGCAATAACGTCTTTCCCCTTGATAAAATTCACCAAACATTCTCTTTATTCCGGCTTTAAATCCTCGATCTTGGGAATCGTTGCCAACACAGAATGTCTGGCTCTTTGCTGATTGGCTGGTGCCTGAACTCGCACTTCTAAAGTTTTTGCAAACTAGTGTATTCTGATTCCTGACCTAGTTGCTGGAGAGAAATGAAATTGATTGGAGGCACTAGGTGGCGCCAGCCTGGCTATCTGTCTACATCTCCAAACCTCCAAATGCTCTGCTCCACCTTGTGATGTCATATAGTGGTAGTTTTCAAGTTAAAGTGCCACTAAACACCAAAATCACTGTTTTCTCGTGATGATCTGTGTAAATGTGTGTAAAACAGAAGTGTATCTCTGCCCCTGGCTTTATTTTTTCATTTTCATGCATATTTGTTAAAAATGGGACTTTTGGCTCAAAGTCGTGTCTGTAGCTGTCTTTTTAGGATCAATTGTGAACAGTATATTTGAATTTTTGTGTTGGACTAACCACTGTAAATGAGTCAGATGCAGGTTACTAAGGCTACGTTCAGACTGCAGGGCTTAACGCTCAATTCAGATTTTTTTGTGAAATCCAATGTTTTTGCGAGGTCGTTCACATTTCCAATTAAATGCGATTTGTATGTGACTCCAGTGTGAACAGTAAACAGCCCAAAAGTGTCCCGTATGCACACTGAAGGACATGACGACATCAACCACAGCGAGCGTGCTCTGTGTTTACAGAAGTCGCCCAAACATGGATGCAGCATTGAGCACCTAGAGATTTTAAAGTTCCTCTCGTACTGGAGCCAGAACATGAACAACTTACTTGTTTTAAGGAGGAGATTGAGAAGGAGAAGGACGAGGTTTTTGGCCGTGGTGTTTTGTGGGACAGTGGCAGCGACGTCTGTTGAAAGGAACGTGTGGATGTGGAGACGTCGCCAAGAGTGGTGAGTGGTGATGTGCTTCACTTCAGTGACACGGAGTTCATTAACAATTTTCACCTACTTCAGCACACAGTAGTGATGTTTGTGTCTTGTTGATAACGTGTAGGTAGGATTCATGCGCTTTGACTGTTCACACTGAAGTCGCATGTCCAAAGATCAGATATGTATCGGTTTCAGGAGCACATTTCAAAGTGGCCTGGGTCATATTTGAAAAAACTGGATCTGTGTCGTTCAGACTGTCATTAAAAGATCAGATACAGGTCACATAGAGGCCAAAAAATCGGATTTGGGTCACTTCAGGCTGCAGTCTGAACGTAGCCTAAGTGATGAGCGCAGCCACTGGCGTCTATAGGCAGTATGTGAGGAGCCGCCATGTCCCGCCGTGTCTGGAGAAAAGGGAAATGCCTTGATCCGAACACAAATGTCCGCTCTGTTTCAAAGTCTGGAGCGCACCGATCCATGCCATGTTGGATTGTTGTGGCTGTCAGTCAGGTGTCAATCATCGCTCCAGAGCCCGCCCCACACCTGCTCTCCCAACCCATCAGGCACCGTCCACTCTGGAGAATTTTTCAGATTCTGCATAGGGGCGGAGTAAAACTTCGGGAAAGTGTTTAATGGCTCTTTAACATTTCCTCTTACTTTTACTTCAGTCGAGTTTGGCAATGGGCTGAAATGATCCAAATGATTCTAATGAAGGTTTGTGGAGAACTTCCTGTTTTACCACATGACATCACAAGGTGGAGCAGAGTGTTTTCTACGTCTGAATATGCTAGGCTGATGTGTCAAACATGTGTGAATGAAACAAAACACAACTCCAGGCGAGGAAAACACAGACGAGGAAACAACATTAGAACAGATCAGAAAATCGGGCCCTTTAATCGGTAAAAATCCTTTTCCATCCATTTTGAGATCTGCTATTGTCCAACTTAAAATGAGGCATTCATTTCATCATCATCATATCCAAATTTAGGTTTGACCCTCTGAATTGTTGACAGTGTTCTATGTGAAAACTCAATAACATTTTTCTGTGTACCGCTGTGACTATTTTGGAGCATTCTGAGAGAAGGTTCTGTCCTTCAATAACTTTTTCCATCATTCAAACGCAAATGGAACTTATAAACCGAACTGACTGTCTCAAAATGAAAGGACAGTTATGTGAAATTGCAATAGCAGATAAAATGTGTTTTGGACTTTTCATCCATCATTATACACTATAGAAATATGGTGAACATTTTCCTGGAAATTGGGGGGGCAGTTACTGTAGAAAAGCACTGCCCTGAAGTGGACGACTGCAGATGGGGAGGAAATTATTCTTGTCTATAAAAGTTTATGTTTAGTTGTATCGTATGTGCAGTGTTGGGAAGGTGACTTTTAGAATGTAATCCCCTACAGATTACAGATTACAGACCCCAAAATGTAGTTTGTAACATAATCCATTAAATGACTTAAAGTGAGTAACATAATCTGAATACTTTGGATTACTTGATTTGTTGTAGAGAAGCAAAGACTAGGATATCTTAACGTAAGATGTTTTGTCTGATAAAAGACAATAAAAAAGCTGAGTCTTTACTTAACCAAATTAAAAATATTATTGATAGAAGAGGAGGAAACACGGTCCATGCAGCATAATTTAGTCCAGTTAAGTCCTCATTTAGACCTGGTTTAGACCTGGTTTAGACCTGGTTTAGAACTGGTTTAGACCTGGTTTAGTCTTGGTTTAGACCCAGTTTAGACCTGGTTTTAGTCCTGGTTTAGTCCTGGTTTAGTGTCCAGCAATGAGTAGAATTAGTGGGGAAAAAAAAAAAAAAAAAAAGGGATATAGCCCGAAATGCGAAAACAGGAAAATACCTGTGTAATCCTTTTATTTCAACAAAGTAGCTGTAATCCAATTACCACTCACTGAAACAGTAACTGTAACTGAATACAGTTACTCATAATTTGTACTCTGATTACGTAACTCCGGTACATGTAATCTGTTACTCCCCAACACTGCGTATGTGTAGACTTTTTACTTGCTTGACCAGCCAGTCCCCCCTATTTTCAGTTCGTATTCAGTCCTCTCATGTAAATAATTTATATAGTCTAATGGAAAATGTTTCAAGAATGCAATATATATATATATATATATATATATATATATATATATATATATATATATATATATATCATTATGTTCAATTTGAAGATGTGGGTGGGATTAAATTCACTTCAATTAAAATTTTTCTTCTCCCCAGTCCTTTTTTGGGCATTTTTTTTTGGTTGTTGCCCTTGTTTCTGTTGGTACAATCGCACTGAACAAATAAATAAATAAATAAATAGATTCAGTCCACGAAATCCAGACAAGATGAGATTTGGATGTAATTTTGGATAAATAGCTTGTGGCATTCAGTTCATAACTTTGCTTCACAATTTTTGCTTTATTTAAGTTTACAGTTTTACAGTGACAAGAGGAGACACTCAGTGAAGTTAACCCATTTTTTTATCCAAGGCAAATGTAAAAATGTGAGGACAAAAATCTCACAAGATCATTTTCTTCGTGTGCACTAGAGTGTGGATTAGGCAGAATTTTTC